GTTGTGGGGCCATCCTGTGCGTTGTAGGATGACTAGTAGCTTCCCTGGCCTCTCCCCACTAGATGCCGGGAGCACCTTCCTCTCTTCCCCTTTGTGACCATCAATAATGTCTCCAGACATTGTCAAGTGTCCCCTAGGGAACAAAGTCACTCCTGGTTGAGCACCACTTCTCTACACTATTCTCCTTTAACAATTAAAAAATGCACCAACCGATATCTAGAGATGGGTGGTATCATATGCAACATCATTCGGGGTGGAATAATGGAGTGGCCACAGGCTCAGGTTCTGGAACCAGCCATACTTACATTCATATTTCATCTCTACTACTGACTAGCTTTACTGTGATCAGCGGCAAGTAAACTCTACTCTGGCTTAGCTTGCCCATCTATTAAATGGGGATATGAATATTACCATCCTTATGGTAATGTTAAATAAATAGCATTAAATAAGGTGATTCACATTAAGTGCTCAGCAAATTGCCTGCTGCCTCGCAAGGGTGCAGTTAACAGCAGTGAATGTCAGAATCAGAGACAAGTTCTGGACTCCTTTCCTAATTGGAAATAGGAAGATCTGAGGAAGGTACCCGATGATGGTGTTCTGAGGACACACTGCAACTTCCTTCCAACCACGAGGTGTCTCCTCAAAGATATGGAGGCTTTTGGATCCCTATAACCCAAATCAACTAGAGATGATGGAAATTAAAATTTTGTTAGTTGACATTAAAAAAAATCTCACAGCTGCACTGAGTTGCAAAATGAGCACGGATGAAGGAAGAGTGCTGAAAAGACAAGAATTTCTCTAGGGATGCAATGCAAAAGGGAAGGAGATAGAAAATAGGAGAGAAAAGTGAACCAACACCAAGCGTATGTGAATTAAGAGTACCAAAAGGAGAAAATAGAAATGATGGAGGAGAGACAATACTTAAAAGAATTCATAGAAGGGAATTGCCCAGAACCAAAGAAAGATAAAAATCCTCAGCCTTAAAGGGCCTGGGGATGGCCAACAAAATTTAAAAATCCACCGACATAGACACGTCACAATGAGATTCTAGAACATCAAAGATACAGGGAGACCCCTAAAAACGTTCCAAGAGGAGAATAATTATATGCATGTCTGTCAGTTTCCTGTAACAAAGTATCACAAACTGGGCGGCTTTCAAACAACAGAAAGGTAATTATCACTGGTCTGGAGGCCAGAGTCTGAAATCAAGAAGTTGTCAGCACTGGTTCCTTTTGGAGGCTCAGAGGAAGCATTGCTTGGGTGCCTGTCCCGACTGGCTCTGGTAGCTCTCGCCGGTCCTGTCCCCTCATTGGCTTGCCACCCCTGTCTCCGCCTTCCCACGCCCTTCTTCCTTAGGTCTCCGTGTGTCCTCTCTTGGTATAAGGACACTAGTGTTCAGAGTTAAGGTCCACCCTATGGGATCTCGTCTCGAGATCCTTAACTTAATTATATGTGCGTGCATCATCTTTCCAAAGAAGGTCACCCTCAAAACCGTTGCTGGGAGTTCGGACGTGGACATGTCTTTTGGGGGGGCACGATTCAACCTGCTACGCTTGGGAACCAGGACTGGATTGACATCATACTCCTCATCAACAAAACTGGATACAAAAAAATAATGAAGCATATTTTCAAAGCTCTGAGGGGAAATGGCTTTGAACATAAATTATCATTCAAGTGTGAGGGCAAAATGAAGCCCTATCAGACGAGTATGGACTCAGAACATTTACTAGCCTTCCAGTTCACCTCTGGAAGAATTAATGTATTTGGCTAGTGTGGAAGATGCTTTCTTTCCCCATCACCTCCCCTGCCAACAAGGAAGAAGGAGCCCCAAATTGCCCGGCATTAATCTATTTCTTTAAGTGTATTTGATTTATATTGTTCAGCAAACTGTGCCATTTATACAGAGAAAAAAGTATTACTAGGGCTATAATGTGAAAGAGCGGCATGCCCCCCTGTCTCTGCATCCTAAATTCGTACTCCCTGGAGCAACCACTGTCCATTCTTTTAGCTATTTCTCCTGCTGTTTACTTCTGTATTTCTCCATTTCTGGTATATGTAGCTATTTCTTGATTTCTCTCTTTTAAGAACTATCTGTTGACTTGCAACTGTGGAAAATTAGATTTTAGTTTGCTCACGTGCTCATTTCCTCCCCACCAAATACACTTATCTGTCCCACCTCCGCCCATGGAGCTCCAGCAGAAGTTTTGGTGAGAATCACATATTCATGTGACCATAGAGATACTAGTCAAGCTAAGCTGTGTAATTAGGAGTTAGGAGTATAATTCTTTTTGTTCTCCCCTCTGGATTAAGACTTGTTTTCATTTTTATTTGCTTAGTTTATATACCTGTTAGTACACGATGGTGAATCTGTTCCCAAATTCTCCCACAGACCTGAAGATCTCTTCTCATTATGTTCAAATGTGTTAACTATTCTTTCAGCCATTTTCCTGGGATTTTTCCTCACCTCTTTTCTTGGTTGGGTTCCTGTTTCCCGGATCCCATGTTTTTCTTTTTCTTGGCTCACTTCCTCATTTTGGTGAAGTGCATCATTCAGTACCTCCCTGTGAAAAATGAAAACCCTCGCATTGGAGGGTTTGGTTGGAGATAGAATTCCAAGTTGGAGAACCTTTTCCCACAGACTTTTGAAGGTATTGGTATGTTGCTTTTTAGCTTCCATTGTTGCTGTGGACATTCTGATTCTGAATCATTGGAATGTGACCTTTTATTTTTTTTAAATATTTTATTTATGTATTTGAGAGAGAGATCATGAGCAGGGGGAGTGGCCGAGGGAGAGGGAGAAGCAGACTTCCCGCTGAGCAGGGAGCCTGACGCGGGGCTTAATCCCAGAACCCTGAGATCATGACCTGAGCCGAAGGCAGATGCTCAACTGAGCCACCCAGGCGCCCTATGACCTTTTATTTTTAATGTGACTTTTTTCTATTCTTTAGAAGCTTTTAGGACCTTCTATTGATTCCTGCTATTCTTAAATTTCACTGTAATGTGCCCTAATGTAGGCACATCTCCGTTCAATTAAAAAAAAAAACCTCATTTCTTAGCCTCCATTACAGCTAGGTATAGCATATAAATATAAGTAGAATTATTGTGTTCCGGGAAATCTCCTTAAAATGATAGGGTGCCCTTCTTTTTCTGCCTTCTTCCTTCCTGCTATTTTTGATGTAATGGCTGGAGTCCCAGCAGCCATATTGAACCATGAGGTGGCTTTGGGCCATGTTCTATGGAACAACAAGACAGAAGCCCAAGTTCCTGACACCATTCAGTGACTACCCTAGACCTGCACTGATTCCCTCTGGGCTTTCTTTTACTTGAGAGAAAAATACACCTCAAGGTTTTTAAGCTGTTATTCTGTGGACTTTCTGTTAAAGCCAAACTTATTCCTAAAATTATATGAACAAAATAATATATATTCCCTTCACAAAAAAACTCTTAAAACACTTTCAAATAACTTTCAATGCCTGTAGGATAAAGGCATGTAATTCTTCCCTCAAAAAATAAATCTGAATAAAGTTGAGATGGGTTTTATACAACTGAGTATCTCACATGTAACAAATACCAAATAATCTACAAGGAAGACACAATAAAGTGAAGAGAAATTAGTAAAACCTGTTGTTTGTTGTAAAAATATTTCAAAAGCAAATCTAGAACAAATATTTTAAGTACGATCAACATGGGAGATACAGGCAGAAGTGGTGAGGGAGGGAGTGATAGGCAGGCAGTTTGTTTTCAGTTTGAGCTAGGGGTGACTCTAGATACTGACTAGTGTAGATATCGTTACAGAAATGCAAGGGATTACTCACAAAATTTTATAAACACTAGAAAAGTAGAAGTCTAGGGTATAGTTTCTACTAGAAAAATGGAATCAAATAAAAACAGCTCAAACAAATTAGCAAAAGGCAGAAAAATGGATAAAAACCAAACCAGAAAATGTGGTAAATAGGATACACAGATATATATATATATGCACATAGGATTGTTAGAATAATTAAGCATATCAGCAATTACAATTCTTGTGAATGAGTTAAAGTCTTCTCAAACTGGATTTTTAAAAAATCCGAAGTTTCCTGCAAGATACATGTATACAGCTGGTAGAGAAGTTGAAAACCAAAGGAAAAATATAAAGATATCTATCAGGGAAAACTAATAAAATAAAACACAGGAATAGCAATAGTCATAGAAAATAAAATAAAGAGGAATAGTTTATGTTGATGAAAGGAACTTCCTGTTAAGATGATATATAATAATCATAAACCGTTATGCACATACTAAAAAACCTGAAAATATATAAAGCAAAAATTGATAGCATTCCTGGGAAAAACAGATAAAGACCGTATCAGATCAGAGGCTTTAACTTAGCTCTCAGCAGATCAACAAGACAACCAGGTAAGGATATAAAGGAAACAACATGATTAACAAGGGTGATGACATCAGAATATGTGACATATGCTAAACAAATAGAGAACACAAATCCCTGTCCAACATATCTGGAACATTCACATAATTGCCCATGTGTTAGGTCACAAATAAAATATCAATACCTTTCTAAAGATCACTATCATACCTAAATGTCACATTCAGTAACCATAATGCAACAAAATGAGAAATCCTCAACAAAATGATCACAAAAATAAAATCTGTGCATCTGTCATTTAAATAACTTAGTCCTCTAAATAATTATTGGAGTAAAGGGTCAATCACAAAAGAAATTACATTATTAGAATAAATATAAGAATGCAGTATGTTAAAACATACGGAGTATGGGTATTCAGAAGATAATTTAAAGCCTTAGATCCATTAATGACAAGACACCAAGTCTGAAAATAAATGACCTAAGATTTCAACTCAAGAAATTAGATAAAGAACAACAATACAAAACCAAAGACAATAAACAGAATTAAAAAGCCAGAAGCTCAAATAAATTTAACAGAAAACAAAAAGCAGAGTTAATTCATAAAGCCAAAAGCTTTTTTTTTTCTCTTTTAAAGGCCACTATAATAGAAAATCCTTTGCCAACATTGATGAAGAACAGCAAAGATGGATATGAATAAGCAACAGCAGGAACTAAAAATGGACCCCAGCTGCAACAAGAGGAAAATGGAAGAATAAATGGTGACTTTGAAAAAAACATTCACATCAAAATTTTCACTCATACCTTCAGCTTTTTGTGTTGACAAGTATACTATAAACACGTTAATAAAGTGGTTACTTCATTACTAAAATTTAATTGTCCCCTTTAATGCTCCTACCTTGTGCATCTTTAGGTTTATAAAGGACACCATTGTATTTTTTACATATTTCAAAGTTTTCATTCTTTTTCTCAAAATCCTTCCCTCTCTCCCAAGTTTCCATCCTTCCTGGAAACATGTCCCACGTCACCTTGTACCTGTCAGGTTGGGCCTCTCCTGCCCTGGGCCACTGCTCGAGGGCCTCAAACCGTGGGTGTTTGGTGGTGGATTCAGGCTGGACTCTTGGCCACCAGGGACGGAGAGCTGACTCAAGAACAGAAGGCCTTTGTCCAGCCACTTGTGGGTCGGATTGGGAATGGTATTTGTGTGCAGGCAGACGCAGTTCTCTCTCTCCCAGCATCTGCTTCTCTGTGCAGGCCCTCTCTAGTCTTCTCCCTCTGCCAGCCACCTTCCTCATCCTGGGGGGCCCCTTAGCACCCCAGCTTAGTGTGGCTCCGGCGTGCTCCACCTTCCACCCCAGGCCGTCTCTCACTAGCTTCTGGTTGAGAGTCGTGAGAGGGGGATCAGCTTATCTCTTCCCACCAGGCCTTTACAGGTCCCCATCCTTCCTGCGGTGTGGCTGCCCTTGGACTGGGTGCCCACGTCTGGTCCAGACACACAGAGGGGCAGCAGGTGTTTGGTGCTGGCCCCTCGGAAGGGCGTGGACGCATCCGGACATGACGGACATCTCTAGGATATGCTGAGGCACTTGCCCCGGCGTGGGACCACAGAGGGTCATTCGGAGGTTCTGTGACCCTGCCCTTGCTTGATTCCAGCCACGACTGTCCCCTGCCGACCCTGCGAGAGCGAGGGTGAGCTCTGCACCTCTCAGAATGGGTGTGCCATGTCAGGAGGCAGGGAGGGTGCCCAACGGGCATCCTTGGACTGGGCTGAAGCCAGTGACTCCTCAGCATCTCACCGGCTTTGGGGCAGAGTTGCCACGAGCCCTGGATACAGCTGCTGCTTCTTCCATCCTTGGGAATGTGGAAAATGTGCGGGCTTCCACATGGCCGCTGGGGACATCTCCCTGAGGTTAGGACCCCAGGACCGGCAGCTGTCACCGAAGACCTCACTTCTCTGGAATCAGTCCTCCCTTCATACTCAGCCGAATGCCGTGTCCCTGACCGATCACTGAGGCCCAAGGTGGCCTGCTAGCACGGTGTTTGGGGTTGTCTGTACTGTGGTTCCCTGTTTGCTACCCATCCCGACCAAGCCATCTGGTGGGAGAGGACATTTCAGGCTCCCTGACAGCAGGCAGGGCCATGCAGTGTATTTTGGACAATGAAATGTGGGTGGAAGTGACCCGGGCCTCTTTGGAGCAGATGCTTCTAAACCTTCAGGTTGCTCTGTTATTTCTCTCTCCCCGCCCCTCATCACAGGCCCTGCACGCTTGGAATGGTGGCTGCCCCTTCCACCTTGGTACTAAAATGAAGAGGGTGTAGAACAGAGGGTCAGAGCCAGCTGTGATGCTCGCGGAAGTGGGTAAGAAGTAAATGTCTGCTGTTGGAAGCCATGCGGTCTGGGCTCACTGCAGCACTGTTAGCCTGAGCTGCCCGATGGGGTACACGGCCCCCACACTGCAGCTTTGGTTAGGTCCTGCCCCCTGCACTAGACGTCAGGGCAGGCATGGGGCCTTTCGTTTGTCCAGCAACCACTTGTTCAGTGCTCTCTATGTGACAAGCACCGTGCTAGACCCTGGGGATGCAGAGACAAAAAGATTAGTCCTTGACCTTGCATCGTCCAGTCTGCTATGGACTGAATGCTTGTGTTCCCCATCTCCAAATTTGCATGTTGAAATCCAACCTCACCCCCAGTGTGATGGTGTTAGGAGGTGGGGCCTTGGGTAGGTGATCAGGCATGAGGGTGGAGCCCTCAGGAATGGGATCGGCAACCTTTTGAGGAGAGACACGAGAGCTTGCTCTCCACCTCTCTGCTCTCGCCATGTGAGGACACAATGTGTCCGTGAACTAGGAAGCGGGCCTTCACCAGACTCCGGGTCTGCTGGCACTTTGATCTTGAACTTCCTGGCCTCTAGACCTGGGAGAATTAAGTGTCTGTTGTTTAAGCTGCCTACCCAGTCTAGAGTATTCTGTTACAGCCACCCAGACTGACTAGGATACCCACATCAGTGACAGTGCCGGGGGTCCTAAGGGAAAGGAAGCCAGAGGAAGGACACCCATCGCTGGGGCAGGGAGGGCCAGGACAGCAACACGTAAGCCTTGTTTACAAAGGTGAATAGTTTTGTCTACGTTTGTTAATTTTGTTGATTTGTGCCTCACCTCATTCCAGAAAGGTCTTGGAGGGGAGGAAGGCCTTGCTTTGGTGCCTGTGGCCCCACTGCCAAGCAGAGAGCCTGGCCCACTGAGCCCCTCAACAGATATGGTCGAATGGTGTCCGAACACCCCTGTCCCATTCTCTTCCTTCTGTGTCACAAACGCGTCTTCCTGCCCTCTCCCCTCCCGCGGCCCATGGATTGAGCTTCCTCCCTGCCAAGCGGATGGCTTTCCTGATGCGTGCTAACACCTACCCGCAGAGCCCCTGGCCTCGCATATAAAGCAGGTGGATGTTTGATGTAAATGTTATTCCGGAACACATATTTAGGATCTTCGGAAATCCTTGCACACCTCTCAGCCTCGATACCTTAGATTGAAGGTATGAGAGAAGCAATGTGTGAATGGCATTTAGAGTAAATTATTAACGCTAAGAACCTCTTTATTAGCCAGTCGTACACAAAGGAATTTTATTTCAGATCCTCTGACACATGACAAATGGCTGCTTCAGATGAGAAGTGAACAGCGTCCTCTGGCAGGCAGCACTGGGGGCTGTATCAGCTGGGGGAAGCAAATCCAATTTGCTTTTAAATGCCATTTACAGACTGTTTCTCTTTCATACTAACAACCCAAGTTATTGAAGTTGAGAATGTAGAAGTTTCGCCACGAAGAAACTTTCCGCAGACTCTGTCTAGGCAGGGGGGTGCCTCCCTCAGCCCGGGGTTGTGACACGTCGGGCATGTGGGTCTCGAGCAACCCCGTGTTCCATGCATCTTCTTCCTCTCTGCTATGCCAGGGGTTTGCGGAATAAACGACTTTTCCAGCCAGCGAGCGGAACATAAAATCCACCGAATTACATCCTACTTAGGAGTTTCCAAAAGGCGGCTTTGAAACAAATTCCCGAGGATAAGTAGGATAGGCAGTGGTGTAGCTAATATGTGTATACACACAGTGATCAAAGCCTGTCTTCTAACTGTTTAAATAGCCCCAGGTGGGAAGAGGAATGGAATTCATAGTCAATAGCCCACTGTTCTGCTGGCTCTCTTTCCTTCCACCCTGCCACCCTTGCTGAGCAGTGCTGGATGCCAATTGCCAGTTCCCAGGTTAGGTGAAGAGTGGGGTGGTAGAGGGGCGCCATGTTGGGTGGCGGGCTTTTGTGGGCAGACCGGTTGGGGAGTCAGAGCCGGAGATGCTGAGGCAAGGCTGGGAGCAACACCAGAGGGACGCGGACCTGGGAGACAGCAGTCGCAATACAAGCAGGTGCTCTGAAGCCCAGAGGGGCCAATGGGGTCACTGAACGTATAGCAATGGGAGGTCCCAGGGTTTTCCTCATGGGTGGTGTGGTAGTGGTGGGCATTCAGTGGTGTTGTGGTGGTGCTGGTGGAGGTGAGTGTCAGGGAGACACGAAGAGAACAGAGATTTAGGGACAATGTGAGGCCCGTGTTAAAAAGCCAGGAGACACACAGATTCCTGAAGTCAGGGCATGGCTCCAGCGGGCAGTCCCAACAAGTCCTAAGTCCTAAGAGAGCACTGACAGGAGGACTAGACAATGGGCTCTTGTCCATCTCAGCCCCAAAAGCTCTGCTTGAATTCTGTCGCTGGCAAGAGTCACTTTGAGGATGTGGTTAGCCTGGGCTCTGCCAGCGGGAGCAGGTTTAACAATGAAGAGTTAACGGCTCGTGAGTGGTGACTGTGGGGTTGGTCATCGAGGAGGAGGGAATGGAAATGGACAGAGAGCCAGCGCCCCAGCATCAGGAAGAATGGAGGGGTCAAGATGTGAGTGCTGGAAACATGCATCTTGCCACCCTAACACAGTCAAGGAATTAGAAGCAGTTATCACTACGGTTGCTGTAAAAAGTCCCCACTCCTCACCCAAACTCCTTCAAAGTCCAAGGATCCAGTTTATTCGAGGTTATCTAGTAAATATTGTGGGATTGGTGGATTGGCCATGACCCTGCTGTGCACCTCGGAAGAGAAGTTAGCAGACAGGAGAGATGGCAGAGTCTCTGTAGCAGGGGCTCAGGAACGGCCCGCAGCCCTACTTCCTGAGTCTTCCTTCTGTCTCTCATGCTTTCTCTGGCTAAAAAGAGTCAGCTTGGATTAGGGTCTGCCTCTCTACCTCTCACTAGCCAACTGCCCGTCACCTTCCAAAGCTGCTCTCACAAGGGATGTGGACTTTAGTTCTCTGTCCGCCATCCCCAAGGCAAAGGGCTGGCTCCTGGTTCCCAGCACTCCAGCATGTGCTGGAGACCCTTTCCTTACTTGTTTGGGGTGAGAGATTAGTTGGCTGGAGACATGGGAAGTGGAGACAGACGTAGAGCATCCCACAGGTGGGAGGACAGGAGAGAGGGCATTTGAGGTTCTCTTGCCTATATGCCCAAATCCCAGTCCCAGCTCTGCTAACTCTTCTCTTCTATTCCATTCCACCCATTCTATTCCAGTCCATCCATTGGATTCCATTCCATTTGGTGGGCACCTACTATGTGCCAGGCAGTGTTCTAGGTGCCAGACAGACAAGACTGAGACCATCCCTGCTCTTAGGTGGCTCATATTTCTGTGGAAGAGACAGAGGGTAAACAGTATCCTGACATTGGGCAAGGGGAGTGGACAGACACTGGCCTGGGGATTAAGAGTCCTTGTTTTGAATCCTGGATCTATTACTGACCTTGGGGAAATCCTACAGCTTCATG